AGAAGAGGAGGAGGGAGGAGAGGAGAGGAGAGCTATATTTAGAATAACTGAACAGCAAAAAAAAAAAAAAAATTACAAAAGAGAAAAGATTCTCATGTTAATGTCTTGTCCTGTTGATGTTGTTTCAGTGGTCTGAATGTGCTCCTCCCTCATCTTAGTTTTTTTTTCAGCATTTCCTTTAATCGTAATCATTCAGTCTCTATTACTTCAATTGGAGACAAAGTCCTTGATGTACTAACGTTGGCAAAGCAGACAAATGACATGACATTAAAAATGTATAAAAGCATCTTTTTTCCTTTTTGTTTAAGTTCTGTCTGTGTCAAATCTGAATTATTTTCTTTGTTTGTAGCTTATCTTTTTGTCTCTTCCGCCGCTGTTTGCTGCTGTTACTGAACGGCTGCTTCTTGCAACAGCACTAATGATGAAAATATAGTCACCATATCTTCTCTGCACCAGAGGCGTCTGGGAGTTGTCGCAATAACTACAATAACGCGTGTGTCTGTGTGTTTGTGATGCGCTCGCTCTCCTTTAATTTCGAAAAGCCACGCAGAAATGTAGCCCTGAGACATTTTTTTGCTAAAAGCCTCGGTAGAGTGCACTTAATTCTTAAGCAGGCAGAGCTGAATGAGGGTGGGAGAGCACGCATGCTGCCAGCATTAATGGACCCCAAAGTAGGGTCCTCGGTGGCCCGGGGCGACCTGAAGTGCAGGCATGCAGCCACGGCTTGCCAGGAACAATGAGACCTACAATAGAGACCTCTCTGCTGGCTTATTAAGACATCTGATGGTCTCTAGATGGCTGCTTGCTGACTCACCGCTGCATTTCTGTTCTGTAGGCTCATGCATCACCTTCCTGTCAGGAGGATGGTGCAGGGGCAGGCAGACAGGCAGCCGGGCACTGCCCTGCCCTCCTCCACTCATCTACTCTCCCTAATTCCGTCTCTTCATTCATGTCCACCTCTGTCATCCATAACTTTACACCCTCTGTGATCCACACTTGCTTTTCGTTATGTCGGCGGCGATGAGAGATGCTGGTTGGCAGAGGAATGACAATTACAAACTCGGTTATTTCTTAGCTCGTCCCTGTCTGTCACTGTTAGAGTCACTTAGCATGCACGCTCAGTCTTTGTTCTGTCTTATTTATAGAAGTTCTGCTTCTTTGCCCAGTGAGAGATGACACTCGGCGGTGTGAGAGTAAACACCAGACCAAGCAGGTTTGACATTCTGAAGCAGGAATTGACATAAGAGGAATTTATGAAGGATCTGATGAGGGTTGTAATGCTGGAGAGGAGAGGAGAGGAGAGGAGAGGATAGGAGAGGAGAGGAGAGGAGAGGAGAGGAGACCTCCTTTTCTTACATGAGGGCTGGCTCGAAGCTAAAGAAACCCACCAAAGACTACCAGCATGCAGGCGTGTACACAACAGTGCTGCAGTCAGGGCATCAATTTTGTATAGGAAATGACTGTTGAGGCAGCGCAGCAATGGTAGTGAAGCACTTAGGCTGAGCGCGCCTCCCTCTCTCTCCCCCCTTTAACCACGGGCTGAAGGAAGGAGGGTTCCGCTTTTTTTTTCCCCGTGCAATGGGGGGAAGAGAGCGCTGGCAGCAGAATCATGTCTGCCTCCGACTCGAGCGCTACAGGACTCATCTGTAACAAGGTACGCTGTTGATGCTCCCCCCCCCCACTCCTCCTGCTCCTTTTATTTTAATCACTCCGCATGCAAACTTAGCCTCTCCATCCATGAGTCCCCTGTCTGTCTGCTCTGAGACATCTTCTTTCTGTTTTTCTTCCCCCCCTCCTCCTCCTCCCACTCACTCTTGTCTCAGCAGAAGTCTATTCTGGTTCTCTCACTTTCCCAGCATCCCCCCCACCCTCCACCCCTCCACACTTGCCCTCTCGTTCCTCCCTCCTTCTCCTCACCTTCTTTGGACATACTGTACTGTACACATGCAGTTTGTATATGTACCTCAGCTCTGTATAGGTTACTTTGCAGCTCTGCGCTGAGGTAGAAGCTAACATCTGTTGAACATCACGATTTTTATATGAAGGAATCTTATATCCTGTCTTTTTTATGACGTCAGTCCTGTCTTTATTTAGCGTAGACAAGCCACTTGTAGTTCTGTTTGCTTTTTCATGATATTACTTTAGGTGTGCAACAGCCACTGAGGACCAAACCATTGCAGAATGATTTTCAAAAAAATAAAAAACACAGTTACTAATGAAATGAATATACATTTATAGTTGAATTCATATATGCATGCATACATAAACACTTGCTAAATATTGTAACATGAAGTTTAAGTATGAATTTTTGGTTTTTGGATGACATTTTATTTAGTATTCATTATCCCCACTCTTAGGATCTGAGTTTGATTTATTTTACTGTATTTTACATTCTGCCATACGCTCGTACAATCACTTGCAATTCCATTCCATGTGTTATGTAATTCTTACCCTTTGAAGCACTTTTTGTTGACTGATGTTGTCACGTGTGGTTGTTTTTGCGCTTATTTGTCGTATATGTGCGGCTGCCTCCGACTCTTTTAGCCCAAGGCAAATGTCCTTCGGGGCAGTAAAGTTCATCTCATCGCATCTCTCATCATCTCAAAAGACAAGCAGCCGTTGAATCTGTGAAAGCAGCAGAGGTGTCGTTCACATTTGGCTCTCTGATGCAGGCGGGTTGTAATGTGCATGCTTCCCTCTGCTGGAGAGACTCCACAACTGCTGCAGTGTCATTATCTCATGTTTCAGTCTCTTAATAGGACTTCCAGCATGTGAGCTCTTTGTTTCTCGTTTTTCTCTCTTTGGGGGGAAGACGACTGCATTGCGAGTGTTGGTTTAGAAGCGAAGACAGTCAGAAAACGCAGCGGCTTGAGAGTTTCCCCCAGACACATTAATGCTGCTCCAACACTGAGACCCGTGTGTCTGTGATTATATTAGATTCTACTATTGATCCCAGTATTGTGTTGTGAGCAGATGTTTTTTTTTATGAGAGTGAGTTTGTCTGAGCCTGCATTGTGCTGATATATATCCTTGAATTTGATGATGTGACTTGAATCTTACAATTTGAGAGTTAACAACGACTGCCACCCAGTAGGTTATATTAGATTGTTTTGCAGTAATTTCATATTGATGCCAGGTTCTTATTATTAAAAAAAAAGTGACATCTTCTAATCTTCATACCTCAATATTTTTGCTGTAGCTGATGAGAAAGGTCTGATACATGGATCTTGATGCATTTCAAATCTCCCAGTTTGCTCGTTATGTCTCTTTGTACATTTGATTTCTTCATTCGGGCCACATTGAGAGAAATACAGATTAAAAACAGTCGGAAATTTCTCTCACGGAGTTTGTCTTTGAGCAACACGTCACCATGGGATGAGTCAGACTTGTTACTGAGGTGACGTTTGTTAGATCGACATACTAACTGGCTACATGAGAATGTCAAGCACTTATACAGTTCAGAGGCAATAAGGAAAGCGAGATAGTTTGGACAGAAAGATGCAGATCACCAGAAATACCTAATCAGGTTACATGAGACTGTTTAGAACCTCCCTGATTGTGGAACGTGTTCAAAACAGTGGATCTGCACTTAACTGTCAGTCTTTGTATTATCAGCTCAGACAGCAGATCTTTTCTATTTAGATCTGGGTAAAAATCTGGGTTGTAGCTCAGTAAAAATGGGGCCAACCAAAGGAGCATCCCACTGCAGCTGCTAATGAAATATTCACTTGTTTATCATGTGATTACTTGAACTGACTTCACTTTAATAATATTTAATTATAAGTCCTTGAAACTGTTGCTGGTAAATACTGTAGATACGAGGAAAACTGTTCTTAACCTCTCTCTGCATTTGCTGTGTGAATTTCTGAAAGTTTTGCATGACAAAAAAAAAAAAACAACAACTTAATGATGAAATGATTTTTCATTTACTGGATTCATGCGGTCTTAAACGAAGCAGTGTCGTGCCTGAGCAAACAGCTTGAGGGGTCTGGACAGCGACGGAAAGAAAAAAGCGCTGGTGCTGCTGTATAGTCTTTATTCATCAAGTTGAAATACTAAAAAAGTTTTGACAATATCAGTGCAATCAGTGTGACAAGGAATAGATTTTGCGCCCTAATGAGGCTCCGTCTGCACTTCAGAGCGTCTCTCCCCTTCAACCGTCTGCCGAACTTTATGGGCTTTAATTAGGTTTTGTTTCTTCTGCTGCTCGACTCTTCAGATTCTCTTCCACCTCTGGCAGGCTTTGATATTCAAATGAATTCCACAAACTCTGCACTGGATTCAGCTTTTTTGGGGGGAGGGGAGGGAGGGGGGTCAGGGGAAAAGCAGAGGAGGGATGGAGCTGGTGGAGAGGAGGGAAGAGAAAAAGGGAGGAGGAGGAGGAGGAGACAGGTGAAGGAGAAAAAAAAAAAAGGTAAAAGAAGGATGACGTTGTTATGGAGCTATATTTGGCTGTCGTACGTGGGTGCTCCTGTCTGGTATGTGAGGAGTCTTCCAGCCTCACGCCCAGCTGGGACTGCAGCCACCGGGGAGGAGGAGCAGACTGCTGATGGAGTGAGAGGACGAGTGTAGAATGAATCTATGAGGTGAACTTTGTGAGTTTTATATGGAGAAAGTCTGGAAAGTGTGTCTGTCTGTGTGAGTTCTTACTGTTTACACTGTGTGCTCTTTAATCATGATACAGAAGATGCTTTATATAGTTTTATTTCGTGTGTGTGTTCTTCAGTGATATGATGTTCTGGTTATTTCATGGTTGACATTTAAGCTCTTGCTCAGCAATAGCATTTGTGCTACTAAAAAAAAAACAATGGTGTCCCATCTGTATGTGCAGCTGAATTCAGAGAAAGCTGGTTTGTGTTTGCTTTTTTGAATCTTTATTTTTTTTAATTGGAATGCCAATGTCATTTTTAAAACAGTACCAATAGTACTGTTTTAAAAATCAGCTGTAGAAATGTCTCTTAGAACATCTCAGAATTGGTGAAGTTTATTGTAATATTGGAAATTTAAACTGTGTTAAAACTGATTACACTAATTTGTAAATTCCACTAACTTAATCAGCGCACATACAAACAGTTGGATGATGTAGTGACCCAACTCTGATACCCCAGCGTGTGCCAGAGACACGTTCAGAAAATGAAAACGAGGCTGGATATCGCAGCATTATCTGGTATTATCAGCATGCTTGGTTAAAGATTGGACTTTTGCCAACACATAGTGTGCCTGGCTGAGTGGATAAATAGACAACAAGGCTGTGCTGGTTGTTAGTGTTGCAGTACTCACGCACATGTTCCCCTGAGAGAGCTGCTTTGGAAAGCTGCAGGAAAGGACAAGCAGCTGCAGAGGCAGGTGAACAAGGAGAAGACATGAGAGACACAGAGGGAGACGGAGACGATCTGTTCAGAGTTGTCTTGTAGCTTTTTGCTATAAGTCGACAGCTGCCGTGTTATGAGTGGTTCTGAACGGCAGCTCCTCTCTGTCTGGCCTGTTACACTTGCTTATACAGGTATTTTCTCTCCTCCTGCTCTCAGGGTTCAGCCGATTCCTACACTAGTCGACCCTCTGATTCCGACCTGTCCCTGGAGGAGGACCAGGAGGCGTCTCGGCGTGAAGCCGAGCGCCAGGCTCAGCTGCAGCTGGAGAGAGCCAAGGTGAGACCTGGAAGGTCAAAGGACAAGCTTGTCTTTAAATTCACCTTCAGTTCCTGAAGAGCAGAAAGTAAAGTACTGACTCATGAAATACTGGAAGTTTGCATTCTAATGAAGCAAAGTAGTCTTTGCTCACCATCTCATTATCCTCACTGTTATTGGTCATGTTGCACTCCACACCTTGCACTCCTGTAAAGTCTTGTAAATAACTACAGTTCTATGGTGCTTGTTTAAACGTAATTTAATTCCTCACAGCACAATATCTTTTGCTTCTGCTTGCATTACTACAGTTATTTTTGTTTTTAGCTACTTTATTTTTTAGCACCAACCCACCAGAACAAATTCCTCGTTTTGTGCAAACTATACCTGGCAATAAATCTGTTTCTGATTCTGATTCTAATCTTGCTTAAGGCTGCTAAATCCGTAGAACCAACATTTTAGTGAGTATTAAAGGTATGATGCTGTATATTTTGTACTTTCTTTGCCCCCCGACAGTCTAAACCAGTAGCATTTGCAGTAAAAACCAATGTGAGTTACTGCGGCGCCCTTGATGAAGATTGCCCAGTTCAAGGTGCCGCTATTAACTTTGAAACCAAAGACTTTCTGCACATAAAAGAGGTGAGAGGCTTCAAAATACAGTGGGGAGTTTTTACCACTGCTTGCAAATAAAGTTCTATTAAACTCAATGTCAACAATTTTTGCAAGCACAACTTCTGAGTCATCGCGGTGTGTTTCGCTCTTACACAGAAATACAACAATGACTGGTGGATCGGTCGGCTGGTGAAGGAAGGCGCAGACATCACTTTCATCCCGAGCCCGGTAAAACTGGAGGCCATGAGGATAAAACAAGAGCAGAAAGCAGCAGCAAGGTCAGAGGTCGCGCAGCTCGGAGACGTCTCTTCGTTATTGCTCCTCCAGTTCTCTCTGCATTTCTGCCTTTTCTTCCACTCCGTTGCCCTAATTCCGCCAGCTTCCTCTCCAGCAATCTCTTTGAAAACTTTTTTTTTTTTTAGACACAACCAGTTCTTGCTCATGTGTTGCTCTGTTTTCAAAGTCCTTCTTTCTAAATTGCCTCCTTAGGGGGTTCACGCATAATGAAGCTTTGCATTATGTTGCTCCGCAGGAAAGGAGGGAACGCTTCATCCGGAGGCTGGAGGTCCACCCCTCCATCTGCAGGTAAGGAGCTCCTGCTGCTGTGTCTGTCTGCTGGGACAGCAGGGTCTCACAGGGTCAGATTTGCATACAAGGTCTATTTCTGGGCTAAAATGTTCCCTTCAGACATGTCTGCAAACTTCCTCTTGATATGTTTTTCCTCTTTACGTCAAACTGAGCTCAGTCATTATTCGAGGTGATCAGTGCAGTAAGATCAGGGAAATGAACACACGTTGAAGAAAAGGCTGCATGTTCTTGCAGCCGAGCATGACACAGAACAGAACCATGAAAGTCTTAAACGCTTCACTGCATCAAAAACGTATTATTAGCACTTCCTTAATGTTCATTCTGTTTATTTTAAAAGCCAAACAGAAGCAGAAACAGGTATGTTTGCATCTTTACTGCTTCACCTAAACCAATGCAGTGCCATTTGTCATTTTAGCAGCTGTGTTCGCTAATAGTGCGTATAATTGCATTGTTTTTTTAACATCCACCTCCTGTGCTTGTGGCCCGTGCAGACTGAACATGTGCCTCCATATGATGTGGTTCCGTCTATGCGACCGGTGGTGCTGGTGGGTCCTTCGCTGAAAGGCTATGAGGTGAATCAACCGTCAGTGCTGCTCTTCAGTTAGTGTGGCTTAATACATGCTTGTTCAAGTCAACCTGGAGTGAGAACCTGGATGTGGTCAGATACTAAAAGAAACTCAACCTGTGGATTCCTTTGATTTAAATTCCATCCATCCATCCATCCATTATCTATACACCGCTTAATCCTCATTAGGGTTGCGGGGGGGCTGGAGTCTATCCCAGCCGACTTAGGGTGAAGGCAGGGGACACCCTGGACAGGTCACCAGTCTATCACAGGGCTACACTTAGAGACAGACAACCAAGCACACTCACATTCACACCTACGGACAATTTAGAATCACCAATTAACCTCAAGGTGTTTTTGGACCTTGTGGGAGGAAGCCAGAGAACCCAGAGAGAACCCACACTGCATGGGGAGAACATGCAAACTCCATGCAGAAAGATTCTGGTGCCCCCACCGGGACGCGAACCGGCAACCTTCTTGCTGCGAGGCAACAGTGCTACCCAACTGCGCCACATTGCAGCCCCTGATTTAAATTCAATGAATTATTTTTCCCTTCTTTGGTTTTCATAAGGGCTGCAGGGTGGCGCAGTTAGTAGCACTGTTGCCTCGCAGCAAGAAGGTTGCCGGTTCGCGTCCCGGAATCTTTCTGCGTGGAGTTTGCATGTTCTCCCCGTGCAGCGTGGGTTCTCTCCGGGTTCTCCGGCTCTCCCACACAGTCCAAAAACATGTTGAGGTTAATTGGTGATTCTAAATTGTCCGTAGGTGTGAATGTGAGTGTGCTTGGTTGTCTGTCTCTAAGTGTAGCCCTGTGATAGACTGGCGACCTGTCCAGAGTGTCCCCTGCCTTCGCCCTAAGTTGGCTGGGATAGACTCCAACCCCCATGACCCTAGTGAGGATTAAGCGGTGTATAGATGATGGATGGATGGTTTTCATAAAAATATGAAATATCTAGTGCTGAGATATGAGTAGCTCTATGAATTGCTGGTCCAGACTGAAACATCTCAACATCTGACGGCTAAATCAGACAATCCTACACTTTCCTCTAGTTCTAGCAGAGGATGCATTGTTCTAATAACTTCGATTTCACTTCATTTCATCAACTGCCATCATCTGATCAAAATGTAAATTTGTCTAATACTTCACTTGATGGGAAAAAAGCTGCAAAAGTAATGATATTTCCATCAGCCTCAGCAGTAATTTGTGTTTAAATAGCAAACTGGCATTTTTATAGTGAGTGCTGACAGCTCAAAACACCACTGAGCCTAAATGCAGCCCACAGAGCCTTTATAAGAAAAACAAGCGCCTTTTTTTTTGAGGCATTAATTAATGCTGTGCGAATCTGAGATGGGCCTTTATCTTTATTTCAAGTCTCTTATTCACTCTGATTTGACTTATTTAAATATAATATAATGAAAATGACTTGTAGCTATACATTTAGCATATGGACTTTGTTCAGCCCGGTCTCCTCCTCTCTGCGCGGCCTTTGTTTGTTCCAGTTTAATCTGGACTGTATTTTCTGATCCAGCAGGGCTCATGTGGTTTGAGCTCCATTATCCCATTAACACTCGTACCAAACATCGGAGTCACATCCTGATGAAATTATAGCAACACAGCAGACATTTAAGATCCATTTGAGCGATCCAGAGTTGTTGCATGTGAGCCCCTTTAACATATATTTTAAAAACCCCACTACATTAACACCCGAAGACGTCTGTTTTCGAGTGAATATGTTGAAATGTGAGGCGTGTAATTGAACAGTGTGTCTGTGTGCTTCAACATTTTCTCTCTTCTGTGGTTGCGCAGGCTGCGAGCCAAGCCGTTTGTTTTGTGTGTGTGTGTGTGTGTGAAATATTTATGCATCGCTCTGGTGATGTGCTTTGGGGATGCTCCAGTGGTGAACGCCAGCCTGCATCCTTCTCACTTTCACTCTCATTCTCTTCCTCCCTGCTTTGCCTCTCTTGTACAGAATGTTTTCAGTTGCTCGCCAGCGTTCTTCAGCGTCGTCTTTCCCCTCCTTTTCCTCTTTTGCACTCCTGTACCTTCTCCCCTTTTCTGCATTTCTCTGTTAAGCCGTGGAGGAGCAGCACCACTGTGCGCTTTCATCCTCTATTCCAAAGACCATCCATTTTTCAGGACTGTTTGAAAATAGACTGCTTCCCTCCATCGTCACAGTGCGCATGCAAACATTTGCAATCGAAAAAAACTCCCTTCCTCAGTCATTAAGGATCCCCCTCCGACACACATGTATATAAGAACTAAACTCTTCTTTGAGGCAGATGTACTCTTTCCTCACAAAATGTTCATTCACCGGAATAAAAATGTCTAATTTCACTGGAAAGCCAAATCCTCATAGAGTGTGTGCACGCTGCGCTTCTACATTAATTATCATAGATGCAGATGATGGATTTGAAAACAGCCTTTTTTTGTGTCAAACTCTGCACATAGATCCTTCTGCAGAGTGAAACATCTTAGTGACGTAAGAAAAACAGCGGAAAGAAGACTTTTAACGTCTTCTCCGTCCTTTTAAATTGTGTTGCACATGCATGTGCCTGAATTATTGTGCACATTCTCATGTAGCTGTGTTTAACAAGTAAGTCGTTTCATATGAAGATGCTCTCATGATGATTCAAGGGGACGTCTTTATTTAAGGCACCTTATTTAGTATTAATAAGCTGTATATAATCATTGAATAAATGCTTTATTACACTCTATAATCTGGCTGTTGGCAGTTATAAATATTATAGCAGCAGCTAATGAGATAATAAATTAGAATAGAAAAGAATAGAATAGAATAGAATAGAATAGAATAGAATAGAATAGAATAGAATAGAACAGAATAGAATAGAATAGAATAGAAATACTGCTGTTACAGTCGCAGAAAGAGTAAAGTGATTACAAATGCAAATAAGCAAAAATATCCAGTGAAGTAAGGTTTAAAAAAAAAAAGAAAAGAGAAAAATGTACCAGTACAAAGTACAAAATGCACAGTAAAGTGTAAAATATACTATGAATATAAACAAATGATGCACTGACATATGTACTAAAGTGAAAACATGCACGGAAACTATAGTAAAACACAGGAATTATATAAAGTATGCCTTCTTAGGAGAACTTATAATTGTTGACCGATCCTCTATATGAAAAAAAACTTGCACTTAAAAGTGACTGTGTAGCAGTTTACAGCTCCATTAGAGAGTGTTGTAAATCTATTAAATGTCTTTATCGTGCTTATAAATGTTAGGCAGGAAGACTTGAAATGAGTTGCAACCAGATTGAACATATAAGCAATAACGCAGGGCTAAGTATGCATGTAAAGAGTCGTCTCTCCTAATTCCTCTCTCCCTTTCCTCCCTCACATCTGTCTCCTAGGTGACAGACATGATGCAGAAAGCCTTGTTTGACTTCCTAAAGCACAGATTTGACGGCAGGTGGGTACGGCTGTCTGCGTCTTCTCTCCAGTAACACTTGAAGCCTGAGCTGTTCGTGGGACTCTGCCTCTCACGTTTCACGGTCGATGGGACACATGATGATGATTTATTTTTAGCTGCAAGAGAGTACAAGTTCATATCATCCTTTGAAATGGAACAGTTGTGGATGTGATGTGATAAGACGCTTCTTCCGTAGGATCTCTATTACACGGGTGACTGCTGATCTGTCACTGGCAAAGCGCTCGGTGCTGAACAAGAAGGCCATAATGGAGAGATCCAACACTCGCTCCAGTCTGGGTGAGCGATGAAAAAGTTGCCTTTGATCTATTTTTTTGTGCTAAATAAAGATTAATACCTGCTAAGAATAGCTGCCTCTTTAAAGTCTCTACTAAACTTAAGTAAGCGATGCTGCTCTTGTTTGAAGAGGCTCACTTGGGCTCCTCGTTTTCCTTCGGTTCGTTCACAGCCGAGGTCCAGAGTGAGATCGAGAGGATCTTCGAGCTGGCCAAGTCTCTTCAGCTGGTCGTCCTGGATGCAGACACCATCAACCACCCAGCACAGCTCCTCAAAACCTCCCTGGCTCCCATCATCGTCTACGTCAAAGTCTCCTCGCCTAAAGTACAAACCACATGATCTTCACAAAGCAATCAGTGCAAGACTTGTGTTGTTGCTCATATACTATTATAAATTTAGAGCAGAATATAGATAGTCAGTTAGCTAGTTGACAGAAAGTAAATAGGGAAATATATAGATAGCTGATTACTTTGTTTGCCTCTTTAAATGAAAAAA